TGACAATAATAATTCATTGTCTCTGAAACTTCCTCATTCACCTTGCCTCACCCTCAAAGCCATATGGTGAAGAACCTCACCATTTGTCAGGAGAAGAATGCCCTCTCTTCGATTCCCCAAAAGAATAATTGCCATACTTCTTTCTACCAACTCCCCCCACCACTTGAAAACATTATCCTTATATATATATATACATATATATATATATCCCTTTCTCCAGAGGCCTAGGTGAACATGGGAATAATGACCACTGAAAATGGTGAAAGTTTTTAGGCTGCAAAAAGCCTCAAAGCAGAATGTTGAGTATACTTTCAAATCTGAGTCTAAAAAGAGAAAAATACCAGCTTCAGATGGTGGTATTTTCAGATATAATCTTAACAAAATATAATAGTTACAATATTCTAATATCAATCATCTTTGGGTATTGAGTCTAGTAGGCCTCTCTACAGGCATTTAGAAAAGCAATCCAGCTTGCCTAAATAAAAGAAACATTTCATGCAAAATCTGAGTATCAAGACAATGAAAAAGCACACATGATTCAAGGAGGACCTTGGGGATCTTGAAATATCCACCAATGATAGCATGAGAAAGTTTTTTTCACAACACAATTCATGCCCCCAAATTATTTTACACTCTACCAGCTACAGTTGCCATGCATCAGCACCAACTGATTTCACGCTTTGTAGGCCACGAAACTGTCCCCAGATTAGTCTCTTTTACACTCCACTGACATGGTCGCCTCATGGTTCACCAACTTAACAATTCCAAGTTTAATGTTAGCACCTACTACTGATCACCTCAAAAGACAATTAAGAGCAACTTTAACATAATTTTAATATAACAATCAAGAGCAACTTTAACATAACTGAACAAAAGCAATGTAATATGCAACAGAAATGTAGAGAGACTAAAAGTCTGGTCCCTACTTTGCAATTATGTACATGTGCTTACACAAACACACACATACATGGTGGCAGGGGAAAAGAAGAGAGGAGGAAAAATTTTTTTCCTTCCCTAACATTTAAAGGTTGGTCTATGTTTCTAGTTATTTGAAATTGTTTCCTCTTCTGAATCTATCCAAGGTATAAACTGATACCCTATTATTGATGAAGAGTTAAAGCGAATAAGACTTTCAGGCTGCAACACAAGTGTCACATGCATTAAATTTAATTTTTTGTCCCCTTTAGAATTCAGTTAACATACTACTGAGTAAATTTTTCAAATTGAGACCACTAGACTTAATTTGTGCTGAGTGCCTAAGACATATTATTCCATTTAATCCCAACACACTACTAAGAGGCACCTAGTATTTTAAATTTGCAGATGAGAAATATGAAACCTGTATTAAGGATCACACAGCTTCCAACTGTTGGTTAAGATTTCAAGGTCATACACTTCACTATTATAGTAATTTAGAAAACATGTCTTCTAAAAAATGGGGCAAACAAAAGCATAGCATAATTTAAAAAAATCCAAGAGCAATAGCAACAAAATAATATTTATAAAAGACATGAAGTATTTAAGACAGAGATTTAGTTACAACTCTATCTCCTCACTCCTGGTAGCTTGCCAGCAAGTGTGGAGGGAGTAAAAAATTAAGTAAACAAAAGAAGTTTCACAGCAAAGCAGGCAAAAAAAAATCATTAGATAATTAACAAATAAGAGCTTCTCTTATATGCAAATCAGAAGTTTACTAGTGTTTCAAGAGTAGCAAATAATTACCTCAGAACATGGTATCTTCCAAGCAATGATTCTTTAGAGATCAGAAAGCCTGTATAGAATGCTACAAAAGGCTTGCAAAGAAGAATAATCTACTATCAAACATGGCTTAGGTACTTAAATTGCATTCTAATAGACTATTAAGATATATATATTTTTTAAAAAGATAAATGTTAAAAGACTGGTAAAAGCTACCAATTGGTAATAGCATTTGCTTGCAGTCAGACATTAGGTGCACATATGATATTGATATCTATGCAAGAGGCAGTGGATGTTGTAAAGCAGGTTTAAAAGTAACAACACAGTTTGAGTTACATGAATAATGCAGCTTTCCCTTTAAGTTGTCTTTATTTAATTGGGAAGATAAGGAATGGAAAAAAAAACTCCCAAGTTGTCTTAACGTAGTATATAACTGCCAAATGAGAAAAGCAGTAAATGATAAAAATTGAAAGACAAGAGATACCACTGAAGGCCTAGAATGGGTACCAGAGATGTCACAGAAGGCAGAAATGGAGCTAGGCCTTTAGAGGCTACAATTCATACAAAGATTGAAAGAAGACATCCCAAGTAGAAAAAATGGCCTCAACAATATAAAGAGCATTAATTAAAGAGAACTAAGTCAAAAAGTGTCATTTGGAAATAGGTATAGAAACTATTCCAGCTGGAACCAAAGTTTCAAAGTAGGAAAACGAAAATTCTGCCACAAAGATCGTTTTTAGTTTAGAAGGGCTTCACCAACTTTACAAATTTGAAAACCTAACCAATGCAGCATCAAGGTTACATCCTAGACAACTTCTGTTACGGTATCTCTAGTTCTCCATATCACATCACCCTCCCTTCATTTACCCCTGGCATCTTTTTAAATTTTTTTTTTAAAGATTTATTTTTTTTGTACATACAGAACTGGGGTACAGGCCAGAGGCTCAGGGGTGGCGAGAAGCCTCGCCAGAGACAGAGTGGGGAGCAGAACAGGCAGATCGACGAAGCACACTGCTGAGGGGAGCAGCGGGCGGGCCAGGAGAGGTCTGCCACGCCATGTGGTCACCTCAGGGGCAGGCGGGAATCAAACTCATGCAGAAGTGGCTTTAGCTTTTCAGTGCAGTGCTTTAACCCGCTGCGCCACCAGGGAGGGCCCCCTGGCATCTTTTTAATATGTATTACCAGTATAGAGGTGATAAGACAGCAAGCAATATTAAAATTGACATCTCTCTTATGTTTATTTATGCAATGCCGTTAATGACCAAACAGAAAAGTAACCTATTTAACCTAAACCAGAAACAGAACCAATGGGGGATGGGCTCCCAAACAATGTGTCAAGTATAATCCTATATTCAGAATTATACATTATTCCTAGAGCAGTGACCAAAAACATTTACTTTGTATGACCACCTTATAATCAGAGAATGAATTCAACCACAACTTGCCCCACAGTAAGTCCTACTCTAAACCTGAAATTCATGTCTCGATGTCTAATGAAGACTGCAATAGTTGGCCAAGTGTTTCTGAAATAATACCAGCTGGAGGTATGTATATATGAGTGGGTGTGTAAACTCTAATAAATAATAAATGACAGAAAATATATTTAGCTGAGATAAAGCTCCAGCCGTTTTGGATTTAGATATAAGAACTGGCATTACTACCACTGCAATAATTCCTGGAAAAGATAAGTCCCAGCCCCATTACCCTGACTTTTATAGTGTCATTTCCTGGCTGAAATATATTTCTAGTCTCCTCAAACTTTTTAAATCTATTCAATCTATACTTTCATCAATAGAACATCTAACCTTACAGTTTTGACAACAGAGTAAAATAACACTTTGAAAGGAAAAGAGAAACTAACTATTCTTTCTCTTCTTGATGTTTATTTCCATTATATAAGCAGAGGTAACACCTAGAATTAACCAGCATTCATTGACCTGACCACAGAAACTGGGTTGCTCTGCTCTTCTCTGATTTTCCCACCCCCTCCTCTATAACTTACACACAATCCTTCACTCTATTGTCCACCTTCTCCAACTGCTCCCCAACAATTCACAGGCTGTCACAGATTGTCAGCACTGCGTTTGGGGACTTGAGAAGTACTCTTGTGGGAGAATGCAGTGTGTTAGTACAGCATTTTCCTGGACACAATGTCACTCTTTATAGCCAGTTGCAAATTAGTTTCTTCTTAAAAAAATAATACTTCTAATAAGACAGGTACAAGGAGATTTTAAATAACCGAGATTAAAACTCTCTTCGGTTTGCTCTGAGACCTAGGTCTTTTCATTGTCATGCACAATAAAATCCCATGTCTCTACTAATATCACTACACACACCATCTTGGGACATCTGAAGTCAGTTTTCTGATGCTAACAAAGCCAAAGAGCCTAGCAAAAAACAATTTAAAGAATCCTCTTTATCCACTTTTCTGCGCCTATTGGCATTTCATCCTTAGATTCTCTTTGAGCCAGTACTGATATTTATTACTTTATCTGCTACAAACCCATTTAAAAGAAAATTCTGCAAAACACCAGTATCATTTCATTATAACTTCAACCCAATTTTTTGCCATGTGCTTCCGCAGCACACTAGTGCAACTGCTCCTGACAGTTGCTGTGACTGCTTGTTACCACGAAAGCCTTCACCCTGACCTCAGCTTCCCAATAGAAACTGGTTACACATGAGAATCAGAAGCTGGAACACACTGAAAAGATCGTTAGAGCAAATCAACTTACTCTTTTTTTTTTTTTTTTCGGTTGGGGGGACCTAAATTGGAAGTAAATAACTGTAGAGTCATATTTAGAAAATTATAAAATTAGTTTGACCAGGTTATCTAGTGAGATGTCTTCCCCAAGATATCTGATAGCTTATTCAGTCTGCTTTATTATGTTTTACTGAGGATTTAAGTGACCACCTATTCTACCTGAATCAGTTCATCTGGCCCCTACAATGACTGCATCTTTGCTATTCCCCACATGAAGCTAAAAGTTGACAGGAAGTATGTTCATTCCAGTTCTTACAGTGGAACAGACAGTAATCCAACTTTGAAAATTAATCTACCATTTAACCAGTCCTTCTTCTCTCTCTTACAAAGACAAAAACCTAAACAGTGGATAGAAACAAGAAAGTCTTCAAAAGACTCTTAGTCTTTCAGGAAATTGCCACCTTCGAACTTGTATTACATGAGAAGTGTAAGTAAAATCACATGGAAGAAACAACATATAAACAAACAAATGTTTAGAGTAAATATTATTCCTATAAAACATACATTATTCTATAAACTATACAGTCAACTGACTTACCAAATAAATAGCATCTATTTTTTGAATAATAAAAATGTAGAACATGCAGACTGAAGACAACCTGTACAAAGTTTCCTTCTGAGAGGTAGTAGCTTCACCTGAAAAATAATAATAAAAGGTATATTTATAAAAATAATTAGTTATTAATTTCTGATACTAGTCTATACCCTTAGCCTATGTCAATGCGCTATCTTATCTCATAAATACTGAGTTTGACACAGAGATTTAACATAGAATGTGCAATTAAAATACACACAAAAAATTTAAGTTTTGCAACAAGAGAGGATAAGGAAATACCATTTTCTCTCATTTTCAGTTCTCTGGGAATTACAATAAAGAGGCAGAAACACCTATTAACTGCCATGAAGAAAAATTATTTTAAAAATGAATATAAGTGATCAAAAACACAAAAATATTCATTGCCATTATCATAGTTCTAATATAAAACAGCATATGGCAAATTCTCATAATAAACTGAATGAATGGTTGGATGATTAAAAAAATCATGTCAGCAAAGAAATGCAATTACATTTACTCTTTTTTTCCCCATCAAACTGGCAATGATTTTAAAACAGAAAAAAAAATGTGATCCTATTTTGGTGAGCGTAGACTGGATAGGTATACATGAGAGTATACATATATCAAAGAAACTTTGACAGGGCAATTCTTCTTAAAAGAATTTACCTTAAGGAAATAACCAGGCTTTTACAAAAATAATTACTCCAGACTAGTTATAAGACTGAAAAATTAACATAAGCAGCCCCTGTATACAGCTCAATTTAAATAAATCATGGTATATCAATACTACGGAAAACTATACAAACATTGAAAAAGTGATGTAGATTTACAAATATCAACATAAAGAACTACAATACTTATCAACAAGTTTTTAAAATTTGAATTTAACAAGGGTACAAGACCATGTGCAAAGGAAACTTTAAAACATTCCTGAAAAACACAAAAGTAGATTTGAATAAATAAGCATTCCTTGTTCTTGCTTGGAAAATTCAACACAACTCAACATCATAAAGATGTCAGCTCTCCCTAAATTAATTCATGAATTTAACATAACTCCAATAAAAATCCTAATATAAGCAAGTATTTTTTAATGGAGATAGATAGTTGATACTTAAGGTCAACAGGCAAACATGTAACAACAGCCGTATCAAATATGATAAACTTTGTAAGTAAGCACTTGAAATATTGTAAGTCTCTATGACTAAAAGTGTGATAATGGTGCAGGAATGAACAGCCTGGTGCAAAAGAGTATAAAGTTCAGAAATAAACCCAATGAAAACTACTCAAGGTAAAGATGGCAGCTCAAAACACTGGGGCAAATTTGTACTTCATGCTATACTAGCTAGCATTTGGAAAAAGGTTATTAAACTCATACGACATACTTTTAAAAGACCAAAGTGGTTCAAGTTTTCATATAAGAACCAGATGAAAACGTGCGAGTTTCTCTTTACCCTAGAAAAGGTAAAGTTTTCTAATTATAACCCAAAACTCAGGTGTAACAAAAACTAAAAAAAATTAGACTACATGAAAGCTTAGATACATACAAATGCACACATACACACCAATTAAAGTCAAAAGACAACTCATAAACTTGGAGGAAATAATCTGTTTGCTGTTATAAAGTTTTCTGATTCCTAGAACTCAGTCAAAACAAAGATAATGGGGCCAAGTTTCTCACTGATGGAAACCACAATACGAGGGAAAGAAAAAAATACATCCTATGTTGCTGAACTGAAATAGGAAGTATTGGTATAAACTCATCACTTTCATACAATAGGTAAAAGTGCATATATATATGTCACACATCTCTATTTGCTAGACGCTTTCTGAGAGGATCTAGAAGCAATGACACCCAGTAACAGTAACAACATTTGGAGCTTAGATCCTGGCTCATAGACCCATTCATACTCTACTAAAAAAAGAAAAACTAAAAACAGAGCTCCCTGAAGAAACACCTCATCCTCGGTCTTTAGTTAGGAAAGTGCAATATAAGCCTAGGCCACCATATAAAAAGTGAGAAATTGTTCAAGGAATGATCAGAGTATAATGAAAGGAGACAAAGATTAGCTTGAAGTGTTCCCACTGGTCAAATTAGGGACAGTGTCAAAATACTCTAATAAAGTAGTTATAAATATATATACACAGAATAATGGAATTAGAAAGTCACAAACAATGGAATTAGAAAAATCACAATTTTGGAAGCTTCATGAAAATGATTCAGGCAGAAATTACCAATGGACACCAGAAACAGTAAGCACAAATTCAAGGAATAACCGTTTATGAAGTCTCATAGTGCCTTTCTAAACTATGCTTATTGAGATAACATCATTTTATAACATTACATGTGTTTCAGGGGTTCACATGTCTATATATATCATGTTTTCACAGCTCCAAACACCAATAATTTTTCACCATAGTCCACTGTGCTCCCACCACCACCTGTTCCTGCCCCCTACCCTCCTCCTTTTGTAGCCTCAGTTGTGCTGTCAGATTTTGAAGATTGTTGGGATGCTTTTGTCTTTTTCCTTACTTTGTTTCTTATATTTTGTGTATGAGTGAAATCACAATGATTTTTTTAAAGGTACTTTAAGATTACAAAAGAAATGTCAATATACATATTAATCCAACTAAAATGTACACCTGAAAATGGTTAAAATGATAAATCCTATGTGTTATATATATTTTGCTTTTGTAAAAAAATTACAAAAGGCAAAAACAGTAACCACACATTATTATTACTAAAAATCTGGCAGACACTACCTGAAGTGAAGTGCTCCAATATCACCTTGCAAGAATTTCAAGATCCTGTACCTCCTGGCACATGCCCTGAGAAGCATGACATTACTTCTGTGATACTCCTGCCCAAAACAGAAAACCTGAATCCAGCCATGAGAAAACATAAGATAAACCCAAATTAGAGGCATCCTACAAAATAACTGGCCTGCACTCTTCAAATATATCAATGTCATGAGAAAAAAAGAGAGAGAGAGAGACTAAGAAAATACTTCAGATTAAAGGAAGTTTTAAGTTAAAGAGATGTGAAGACTGAATGATCTGAAATTTTCTTCTGCTATAAAAGTAATTATTGGGACAATGAGTGAAATCTGAACAAGTCTGTAGATTAGGTAATTAAATGTCCTGGTTCTGACAACTGTAGTATAGTAACAGTAAAAAAGAATGTCCCTTTCTTTAGAAAATACACTGTGAAGGGAATAGATCTTTTTATTCGACAACAACCCAAGAAAAGGGTAGAAGGTGGGGGAGAGGGGGGAGGAGAGCCAGGGGAGTAGTAAAGTGTTAACATTTGGGGTGAATGTTTTGTACTTTCTTACAGTTTTCCATAGTCTGAAATAATGTAAACATAAACAAGGGGGGAAAATGTTAGTGTCTGCCACATAATCTTCAATAGAATAAATGCTAACTATTAGATGCTGCTAATGAGAGAATATATCTCCAGATGAATGCTAACTGTATAACAGATGCTGTAGAGCCAAGTATCAACCCAGCAGCAGAGAAATTTGGGACCTGACCCAACTTACAGTCATAAATCCATACAAGGGTCAGAAATTCTGGAATACTTTTGGAATTGGAAGTGAGGTGAAGGAGGGGTATTCAAGGGATAGGGAGGAACTGTTTAAGGAGCTATTAGATATTTAGGTTTAGATTCCCCTCCCCCTCTCCTAAAGAGGCTTGAAGTAATTCTGCAGAAAGTAAAATACATGATCTCTGGTTTGAGGGTTAACTAGACATGTACAGGTTTTAAAATTTGGTGATTAAGTGAGCATCCTGAATGCCAAGATCTGTGGTTCCCATCCTGATCCTCACACACCAGCTCTCAGAAAAATGCAAACTATTGTACACTGAAAGGGTCCTCCAAGCATCTATAAATATCCAGCATTGTTTATAAAAACAGACGTTAATACATGACAAGGTGCATCACTGTAAAATTTCACAACACAAAAGCAGAGACCCAACTGGTTCCAACAGGAAGATTCAACCAAAAAAGAATGGGTTCATGTTGGCTTAGGACTTCTCAAAAGCTATAGAGAACTGGCAAAAAGAAGAAACTATGCTTTCAATGTTCTGGAAGAAAGTATTTCTTATCTACTATTTTTTCACTCACCCAAACTATATGAGTCAAATGTGAAGACAGAAAGACATGTTCACATGGAAAGTCTCCAAAATTACCTTCAATGTACACGTTCTTAGAAAATGACTAGAGGATTGAGAATTGAAATTTCTTACAAATTTAGAAAAAAACTGATTAAAAATTTGCCAGAGCAACAAGTTTTAAACCCATTCAACTGATAAAGATAACTTAACCGACACCCTTTTACAAGCCAACAAATCAGGGAGAAACTCCTCCAGTAAATACACCTCTGAGAGCAAAGCAAGCAATCACCAAGAGTATTATCCAAATCATGTGTCTACAGATAACCACAACTACTCCTGCCTCTTAAAGTCATCCCATTCCTAAACTCCACACTCCCTCCAACCACTATATAAAAATAACAATCTGCTTTTACCAGAGAGATTGTGCCAGTTCAGACATTCTAGATAAATGAACAATCACTATCATCATCCTTTGACATCAAAGAGGAAATGAAGTAAACTAAAGACAGACTTGAGTTACAGAAAACAGGATATGTAACAAAAAGAAAAATGAAGGACATGAGAATTCTGGGATTCTGGAATAACTGTGTGTAAGAAAAAGGCACCAATTCAACTGAAGCTCTGTTACAGGGACAAGCATGTTAAGGGCTCTCATTCTGAAGCTCTCTAGCATCTTTTTAAACTCACACAACTACTAAGAGGATGTGTTTCAAGTAAGTGAGAAGGTAAATGAAGAATAAGGAAGCTAAGAGTTACAACAATAGGAGCATCAAACAAAAAAGTCTGAGGATGACAACAAAAAGAAATCACCCCAGGAAAGGAACCCAGATGGTAGGCCAAAACAAGGTGGTAGAAGTCTCCAGAAGAGAAGCTTCCAATATGTTTTAAAAATAAAGAAAAGTATGACTGATTTCGTGGAAAACTGTATTGAGAGGCTGTTATTTAACACAACAAATAAAATTTGCAC